GCATTAACTGCATTAAAAAATTCCTTCCTGACAATATGAGCGTTTTTTCCCCTCCTAGTGTGTGTGTGTGAGAGAGAGAGAGAGAGAGACAGAGAGAGATTTCGGAGGCGTCCGCCTCAACTACATTTGTACCAATTTCCCATCCAATTCATTTACCGCCTTGAAGCTTCCAATAACATATAATTGATGCCAACACGGTTACGCCTATCGTCTGCCATAAATTGTAGTGCTGCAATAAACAAAGTCTTTTCAGTTTACCCCAAGCACTTTTTATCTAATGGAAAACTCGTAAAATGTGTTGTTCTCTGACCTGAATGACTTGCAACCTATGTAATGAGAAGACAGACAAGTTATTTTTTTCGTAATTTTCATTGGGTATTGTTGATTAAGCAGCATACATCAAGTTCATTAGCTTCTTGAAATGAATACACCGGTTCGTTACTATCAGTTGCTTATGAAAAAAACATGTAGATGTGTTTGATAAAGTAAAATAGTCTCTTTTCTGAGACCTATGGAAAATTACCACTCAACTGCTTCTTCTTTGACAGTATGTTATTGGAAGTCTCCTTTTCTTGTAACAATTAAGTAACGCGGCGTCTGGACACATTTTGTTTCCTTCTCAAATTTCTTTAGAATTCGTAGAAGGACAACTAAGGTATGCAGCAGTGACTTAAGTGGGGATTTCGGAGGTCTCTTTGCATTTTAAGACATGTATGAAGATTTCAGAAAGTTTACCGATCTCTTGAAAAATTATATTTCTTGCCGATGGTGTCTTATCTAAGTGTGAGTGTGTGTGTGTGTTTGTATGTGTATGTGAGAGAGAGAGAAAGAGAGAGAGAGAGAGACTGATTGAAGTCACCACACTTATCCATCAAGTTCAGGTACCAGTATGCCTTAAAGCAGACACGCACATCTTATTGGCACCAACCCTGTTATGTAAGTCTGTAACATAAAAGTTCTTTTAAATCCACCCGAGGCAGGGAATTATTATCTAATGAAAAGGTTGTAAAATATAGTGTCCTAACCTGTTGTTAATTCTCACCAGAATTAATAATATAGTCTTGCCATCGTTGTAACGAGGAGACAAATTGGTGTTTTTCTCGATTTCCATTATTGGTATTATTCATCTATCGGCAGAAATTGCGGTTTATCATTTGCTAGATGAATGTCATGGATACGCGGGTTTGTTACATGGTTCTGAGTTTAAAACATCATTACTTTAATTTATCAACTTTATCAACTCTTTATCAACTCTGTCATAATTTAAAGACTGACAAAATATTACTTTTAAATTAAATTTTTGATTGCCGTATTTTACAATAACGAAAAAGGAGTAAAGCATAACTGCTAAGAGCAATTTTGGCATGTTTCTATCTTAGTCTTCATTTCTCTCTTGATTTTTTCCATTGTAATAAGCACTGACTGCTTAAAAATAGGGATAATAAAATTCGGCAGTTTGATTATGGGTTGCGAACATGATTATTCCGTATGTGTCTTATATCTAATTAACATCCAGACATTTGTCACAAATAGCTTAAGGCAAAATACTGGCTTGCAAATATAATAAGTACCAAACCGTTTTGTGCTTCAGGTCGGTATAAAAAGATTGACTTGGTCCAGTTTTGACAGACTTCGACTTTAATCAAGCTCCAAGTCACACTTCAACAGTTAGCAGACGACANAAATCGAATGAAAAATAAAGAGATGGCACATTAAATCATATGGCTGGGGTCGTAAATGGCCCCACTCGGTCACTTGAGGGTTAAATAACTATATCAAATGAAAAAACAAATGTCACCAGTTTGTCTCGCCATCACAAAGTTGGCAAGTCACTCATTCATACAGAAGTTACGACAGGTTATGGCATGACATATTTACGAGTGTTTCATTAAATAAGAAGCGCCTGGGGTACAATAAAAATACTTTGATGGACATAATGGGCATAATCGGGTTGGCGTCATATGTACTTGTAAGCCTCAAGGTGGCACATACATCAGATGGAAAAAAATAGTCCAGCGCTCCCATTGACCACACCTACATTGGCCAGTGATCATTCTGATTCAATTCATGAAAGAATGACTACTGGCGGACGCCCAATGCACGTGTAGTCAGTGGGAGCGCTGGAACTATGTTGAAGGAGAGGGTGTTGTTAAATAACTCCTCAGTCAGAGTAAAGCATAGAACGCCTTGAATCTGCTAATTAAAAATAAGTGTTAATACAATGTATACACCTGAAGATAGACACTCTCTCAGTGTGTGTTTTTGCGTGTTTTGCGAGAGTTCATTATCAAATAAATGCAGCTATGTTCCATTTCCACATAGGCAATGCTTTAATAAACTAGTAGAGGTGAACGTATCTAAATTGCATACATTTGTACCAGCCCAATATTTTACACACATGGGAATAAACTATCATGAATGAATTAAAGTTTGCATGTATCGAGCTTACTTTAGTATGTGGCTATGAAGAAAATGTCCCATTGTTTTGTTTGGTTTATTTACATCTTATATGCTTGGAATGAGGATTGCATAATACACTGCATTAACTGCATTAAAAAATTCCTTCCTGACAATATGAGCGTTTTTTCCCCTCCGAGTGTGTGTGTGTGTGAGAGAGAGAGAGAGAGAGAGAGAGAGAGATTTCAGAAGCGTTCGGCTCAACTACATTTGTACCAATTTCCCATCCAATTCATTTACCGCCTTGAAGCTTCCAATAACATATAATTGATGCCAACACGGTTACGCCTATCATCTGTCATAAATTGTAGTGCTGCAATAAACAAAGTCTTTTAAGTTTACCCCAAGCACTTTTTATCTAATGGAACACTCGTAAAAGTGTCCTGACCTGAGTGACTTGCCACCTTTGTGATGAGAAGACTATCCGTTGCTAATAAAAAAAAAAAAAAAACATGAGACCTATTGAAAATTACCACTCAGCTGCTTCTTCTTTGACAGTATGTTATTGGAAGTCTCCTTTTCTTGTAACAATGAAGTAGGGCGGTGTTTGGGCACATTTTCTCCTCTTATCTAAATTTCTTTAGAATTTGGAAAAAGACAATTAAGGTTTGCAGCGGTGACAGAAGTGGGGATTCTGGAGGTCTCTTTACATTTTAAGACATGTATGAGGATTTCAGAAAGCTCACCCATATGTTGTAAAATTGTATTTCTTGTCAATGATTTGGACGGCATGTCTTATCTAAGTGTGTGTGTGTGTGTGTGTGTGTGTGTGAGAGAGAGAGATAGATTCAAGTAACCACACTTATCCACCAAGTTCAGGTGATTATTCTGATTCAATTCTTAAAGGAATGACTACTGGCGAACGCCGAATGCACGTATAGTCAGCGGGAGCGCTGGACCTATCTTGAAGGAGGGGAGAGTCGTTAAATAACGCCTAAGTCAAATTAAAGCACAGCATGCATTAAAGTCTCTGCTAATTAAGAATAACTGTTAATGCATTTTATACAACTGAAGATAGAAACGTTTTTCCACCTAATTTTTGTGATGATGGAATTGTTATAACACATGCAAGTCAATCCTCTTTCTCTCCCCTCCCTCCCTCCCTCCCTCTCTCTCTCTCTCTCTCTCTCTCCCAAACGCACAAACACACACACTCTCTCTCTCAGTGCGTGTTTTTGTGTGTTTTCGATACTTCATTATCAAATAAATGCGGCTATGTTCCATTTCCACATAGGCAATGATTTAATAAACTAGTAGAGGTGAATGAACCTAAATCGCATACCAGCCCATCTTTCACACATATGGGAATAAAGTATCGGCTATAAAAATGTCCCTTTTGTTTTTTGGTTTTATTTTTATCTCATATGCTTGGAATGAGGATTGCATAATACACTGCATTAAAAAAACATTCCTGACAATATGAACTTTTTTATACGTCCCTGTGTGTGTGTGCGTGTTTGTGTGTGTGTGTGTGTGTGTGAGAGAGAGAGAGAGAGAGAGAGAGAGAGATTTCGGAGGCGTCCGCTTGAACTACATTTGTACCAATCTTTTCCATCCAATTCACGTACCGCCTTGAAGCTTACAATTACATATAATTGATGCCAACCCGGTTACGCCTATCGTCTGCCATAAATTGTAGTGCTGCAATAAACAAAGTCTTTTCAGTTTACCCCAAGCACTTTTTATCTAATGGAAAACTCGTAAAATGTGTTGTTCTCTGACCTGAATGACTTGCAACCTATGTAATGAGAAGACAGACAAGTTATTTTTTTCGTAATTTTCATTGGGTATTGTTGATTAAGCAGCATACATCAAGTTCATTAGCTTCTTGAAATGAATACACCGGTTCGTTACTATCAGTTGCTTATGAAAAAAACATGTAGATGTGTTTGATAAAGTAAAATAGTCTCTTTTCTGAGACCTATGGAAAATTACCACTCAACTGCTTCTTCTTTGACAGTATGTTATTGGAAGTCTCCTTTTCTTGTAACAATTAAGTAACGCGGCGTCTGGACACATTTTGTTTCCATCTCAAATTTCTTTAGAATTCGTAGAAGGACAACTAAGGTATGCAGCGGTGACTTAAGTGGGGATTTCGGAGGTCTCTTTGCATTTTAAGACATATTGTATGAAGATTTCAGAAAGTTTACCGATCTCTTGAAAAAGTATATTTCTTGCCGATGGTGTCTTATCTAAGTGTGAGTGTGTGTGTGTGTGTTTGTATGTGTATGTGAGAGAGAGAAAAAGAGAGAGAGAGAGAGAGAGACTGATTGAAGTCACCACACTTACCCATCAAGTTCAGGTACCAGTATGCCTTAAAGCAGACACGCACATCTTATTGGAACCAACCCTGTTCTGTACGTCTGTAACATAAAAGTTCTGTTAAATCCACCCGAGGCAGGGAATTATTATCTAATGAAAAGGTTGTAAAATATAGTGTCCTAACCTGTTGTAAATTCTCACCAGAATTAATAATATAGTCTTGCCATCGTTGTAACGAGGAGACAAATTGGTGTTTTTCTCGATTTCCATTAATGGTATTATTCATGGATACGCGGGTTTGTTACATGGTTCTGAGTTTAAAACATCATTACTTTAATTTATCAACTTTATCAACTCTTTATCAACTCTGTCATAATTTAAAGACCGACAAAATATTACTTTTAAATTAAATTTTTGATTGCCGTATTTTACAATAACGAAAAAGGAGTAAAGCATAACTGCTAAGAGCAATTTTGGCATGTTTCTATCTTAGTCTTCATTTCTCTCTTGATTTTTTCCATTGTAATAAGCACTGACTGCTTAAAAATAGGGATAATTAAATTCGGCAGTTTGATTACGGGTTGCGAACATGATTATTCGGTATGTCTCTTATATCCAATTAACATCCAGACATTTGTCACAAATAGCTTAAGGCAAAATACTGGCTTGCAAATATAATAAGTACCAAACCGTTTTGTGCTTCAGGTCGGTATAAAAAGATTGACTTGGTCCAGTTTTGACAGACTTCGACTTTAATCAAGCTCCAAGTCACACTTCAACAGTTAGCAGACCGACGACAGTTCTTTTTCCGCCAAGATGATGAAGCTGATTCTACTCGCTTCTCTCGTGGCCGTGACAGCCGCCAATTATTGGGACTCTGGGAGTAAAAGGTGTGTGTGTGTGTGTGTGTGTGTGTGTGTGTGTGTGTGTTAGTTGTGTATGCGTGTGTGTGTGTTAGTGTGTGTGTATACGTGTATGTGTGTGTGGGTGTGTGGGTGTTAGTGTGTGTATGCGTGTATGTGTGTGTGTGTTAGTATGTGTATGTGTGTATGCGTGTATGTGTGTGTATGTGTGTGTATGTGTGTGTGTATGTGTGTGTTAGTATGTGTATGTGTGTATGTGTGTGTATGTGTGTGTATGTGTGTGTGTATGTGTGTGTGTGTGTGTGAGAGAGAGAGTGAGAGAGAGAAAGAGGTTTACTACAGTATCATTGTTTGTTTCGTGATTTAATCTTATTAACATTCAATTCATCTAGCAGTGCAATTGGAATTTAAAAAGGGGTTGATCCGGACAGTCTGTTTTCTTTTAATATATGGCTGTAGAAATTGCCTAGCTAACCTTTGTTTAGAACCAAGTTACTGTTGTGGTTTCATGTTGTTCAGCGCTCGAGAATCGAGACAAAACAAGCGAAGAAATGATCATTTTATAGAGTAAGCCTTTACTGCACGTCTAATAAGCGGAGTGCCACCGAAGACTGGCAGACTGACAGGCGACGTTTTCTTCTTTGATATTGATAGTTTTATCCCAATGAAATTGATAAGTTATATGACTTTTTTATTTTGTTAAAGGACTCACTATGGATATCAACCCGGCGGATACGGAAATAGCTACAGCAGCTACATGAATTATGACCAAGGGTACGGATATGGAGGCTATGGATACAAAGGTGCTGGATACGGAAAGCCTCAATACGGAGGAAAGAAGGGACCATATACCCCATGGCGATATTAGTGGTAAGATTTCGTTTTCATTCACATTTTACAGTTTATTCGCGATTGTATAATTCAGCTTAATACGTGTAAACTTCAGCTAACTGCATGTTTCCTAATGGCTAGTTAAAACTAGTCAGAATATAAAAAAGGATGATAAACGAGTTTTAATTAACAATCTGTAAATATTACATAACTTGGTCGTTCAATTGTTAAAACCGAACCGACCTATTCTGTATCATTTATCTGAATTGTGCTCGAGTCAAGGTCCAAATGTGTTCCACCAATCTTGTAAAAGCTCCAAGTTGACAGGTGTCGACACAGCCTCCTTTTTCAGTCTTGATAGTCTCCGCCAATAAGTACAACAAAGGGTTAAAAGCATTGAACTGTATTGATCTGAAGGAAGAGACTTTAGACAATTGTCTATTCATTAAGTCATGCATTGGTCCGTTTTTAATAGCAACCGTGACCCGTACCGTGTCTAAATGACATTTTCAATCATTTTTTTTTTATATTCCAGAAACTGATGCTGCAGATAACCTTTATTCTACAGTGTGCACAGCCGGATATGACGACATCAACCACGTGACCCATACCAAACAGATCCTTGCTCATATCATTCTAAATATCTTTACTGCTTTTGCCCATAAATAGACCGGTGCAATTTGGAAACATATTCTGTATTACATGTATGACATTTTTCAACGCTTATGCAATAAAATATGTGATGAAGATGTCATTTTGTTTTTAGTCTTTTTAAACCAATATAGATTGTAAATGTCCATGGGAATTATAAGCGTTTTTTTAAAGAGAATCTTTATTTAAAAGGTCACATATACAGGGATCATATTTATAAGCCCATCACAGAAATCCACAGAAATGTGTCATCATCGTGTCTGTTGTTTCTTTTGCATATCTCGCGATAAAACATGTATCTGCAACATGGTTCAGCCGTGTTTTAAAGACATGTTGATGCCAATGACAAAAAAACAGGGGTTTTATAAGGTTTGACAACCACTTTAGGCAACCACTTTCGTCAACAGAACTGTTGTATACTATTTATTTAAAATATGCCAACACATACCATGTCAGCGTGGGCCCTTTTCTCGTGGCAACGTTCCTCATCAGAAACAGAACCTCCCTCTTTGAAGTACACATTGTAAATGCCAGAGTTTTTGAAATAAGGACTCTATAAATAATTGTTTTGGCATCAAAGAGACCCACTGAAGGCCTTGTATATTTACATACAAATGTATGTAAAACAGAATAGGCTTATTTTTCTTAACTTAAATATCAAGCTTCTAAGTTTTGCCATGGCCTGGTGAAATACAGAGACACTCGAATGTGTTTTTATTAAAAAATCACCTTAACTGATTTTATTCTGAGTGCTTGTAAAAGTTAAAAGAAAGTTATATTTTAACGATAGTACGAGCACGTTAAGAGATCATGTATGAATTAATTATTTAATTACCAGAAGACACCACGACTAAATGTATTTCTTAGAAGACAAAGCATTATTCAAACTGACGGTTAATTAATAATGGCACCAATATCACGGATCATTATGACCTACGACAAGGACGACACAGTGTATGCCTTTGCAATTGACTATATATACTTTCTTACAAGATTATCTGAAGAAAGTAAACTTTACATGTTGTATTGAAAACCTACCAATCACAATAAAACACCCGAAGTTTCCTCCAAATAACAATAAAAAGAATATACTTTTATGCCGTTTCATTTGCGTAGGTCTGCGTTAGTTCTCTGAGTGGTTATCTAGTTATGTATTTTGACATTGTTTACTATAACATAATCATCAGTGTCATACAAAGAAAGTGCCAAGAGCATGCCTGATACTCTTTATAAACACGCATGGTAGTATTTGGTAATAGATTGTGGCTGGTGTGCTCGGAAGCAATGTGGGTAGTATTTGGTAATAGATTGTGACTGGTGTGCTCGGAAGCAATGTGGGTTATATTTGGTAATAGATTGTGACTGGTGTGCTCGAAAGCAATGTGGGTAGTATTTGGTAATAGATTGTGACTGGTGTGCTCGAAAGCAATGTGGGTAGTATTTGGTAATAGATTGTGACTGGTGTGCTCGGAAGCAATGTGGGTAATATTTGGTAATAGATTGTGACTGGTGTACTCAGAAGCAATGGTTTCAAAACGACACGGTAGTGTTTGGTGCCCCATGATGTTGTTTTTTTATTTCTGTTATCGTTGCGATACAAATTGAACCCAAGGATTCGATTAGTTTAAATTGCACAATCGAGACAGTAACATTGTTAAAAGTACGCCAATCTTTGTAACAAAAATATTTGCAATGCACATAAGCCTTTCAACACTAAACCAAGGTAGCTATTTTATAACGACCCAAAACACAAAACGAATGCATGATTATTACATTTTGGAACCGAATATTTTGCTTTAAGATACCGGTATTTGTAAAGGTAGAGGTGGCTAAATAGGACACACATGAAATCTATTATCACTTTGGTTTCAAGTACCAAGTATCGTCAGATTGGCCAAAATAATTCCCTTGATTTGTTAATGCTTGTGCTTATCAAATTCAGTAAAGATGAAACATATTTTTTAAAAAATAATAATTTGAGCCTCACGGTAGTAACAACATGTTATGATCTTGCATTTTACCTGTGTTTGGTTTTATTAGAAGTGTCTTTAGAATGTAGAAAAGACCAGTAAATTACATTTCACTGCTAAATAATGGATGTGAAGGTCGCGGCCATAACGCACTTATAAGCCACAAGGCATACTGGTCCGTGAATCTGACAAATATTGTTAGTGCGCGTGCCTTCCGAATCCCTCTCTCTCACTCTCTCTCTCTCTCTCACACAAACATACTGTTGCTCATTAACATAAAATGAATGTTAAATTAACTTGCCATTATCCGATTATTCTTCATCTTTTTCAATAATTTTGTTTTCAATTAATTTATTCTTGTATACCGTCTTAATGGGGTCTTGTGTACGTTAATAGTAGTGTCTAGCTGCAGGACTGGGCGTGATGAAATTATCCTTCAAATATTTTTTTAATATTTTTACTCATAACGATGCCCTGCTTTTAATAATTTTGGTATCGTGTATTACTTTCAATTTTACTAAATGATCTCTCTCTCTCTCTCTCTCTCTCTCTCTCTCTCTCATTTTGGATTCCATATATGTTAGCCCAGGCTTAACAGCAGGTGCACCACTTCGTCGTTGTCTTAGTATTAACAAACTTTAGCTAGCTTGTTATAAAGCTATAAATCAATGCCTTACCAAGTGGTACGTATGATTATAAGAACATTGGCAATAAAAATAACATTTATATTTGCTGTACTGCCCGCACGCGTAATGTTAACACGAAGCTTCGTTATACGTAGGAGATTTTCTAATGAGTCACAGTGACATTATATGCAGACAAGATCATCACCTTTTCCCTTACTGAGACAACAGGCGACGTTAAATTAGCATAACATGCATATTTTTACAGGGACTAAAATCATTGAAATTCTATTCATTAAAGAAATAATGGAAATTTTGTAATGCAAGTCAGTCCCCTTTATTTCCCTCTCTCTCTATATCTCTCTGTGTTTTGAGAGGGTTCATAATCTAATGAAAGCGGCTATCGTCCTTCTCCGTAGAGGAATCCTTTAATTAACTGGTCACCAGTAGTGAGTAGAGCAGAGTGTCCTAAAAGCACCTACGAGCCTAATTGTTTTCCACATATATGTTATAATATAATGATATATGAATATACACACACTGGACAAAAGAAGTGTCACCCCCTAACTCAGAGTAATAAAAGTAGGCAGATCTTGGGTAAATATAATGCCTGGTCTACTTATAATGTGACTAATGAGTATAAAACCGCTGTACCATGGGATTGTATTGTTGGTCTTGTAAATGTACAGCAAATGTTATTCCTGTCTTCCTCCAATATGGCAAGATACAGGCAATTATCTAACGGTTATAGGTGCAAGTTATTAACCTGAAGAGGCGGATAATAAGCAATGTCAGTATATCGATACAATTGAATTGTTTAGTCAGAACCGTGCAGGGGGTCTGGTCTCGGTATAGAAACACTGGATCAAGAGACAAATTGCCTCTGATGGGTCGTCCAAGAAAAACTACTGGCCGTGNTGTATGTTAGCCCAGGCTTAACAGCAGGTGCACTACTTCGTCGTTGTCTTAGTATTAACAAACTTTAGCTAGCTTGTTATAAAGCTATAAATCAATGCCTTACCAAGTGGTACGTATGATTATAAGAACATTGGCAATAAAAATAACATTTATATTTGCTGTACTGCCCGCACGCGTAATGTTAACACGAAGCTTCGTTATACGTAGGAGATTTTCTAATGAGTCACAGTGACATTATATGCAGACAAGATCATCACCTTTTCCCTTACTGAGACAACAGGCGACGTTAAATTAGCATAACATGCATATTTTTACAGGGACTAAAATCATTGAAATTCTATTCATTAAAGAAATAATGGAAATTTTGTAATGCAAGTCAGTCCCCTTTATTTCCCTCTCTCTCTATATATCTCTCTGTGTTTTGAGAGGGTTCATAATCTAATGAAAGCGGCTATCGTCCTTCTCCGTAGAGGAATCCTTTAATTAACTGGTCACCAGCAGACTGAGTAGAGCAGAGTGTCCTAAAAGCACCTACGAGCCTAATTGTTTTCCACATATATGTTATAATATAATGATATATGAATATACATGTATGTCCAGTATTTGGCTACGGAGAAAGTGTCCCTTTTGTTTGAAGAACACATAAGGCATCGTATTTCAAAAGGCTATTTTCTTGCTGAAAATAATGAGCGTTTTTACGTCCATGTGTGTGTGTGTGTGTGTGTGCGTGAGAGAGAGAGAGAGAGAGAGAGAGAGAGAGAGAGTTAGATTTTGGAGGCGTTCAATGCAGCTACAGTTTTACTACCCTCTTCCATCCTATTCACGTACCACCTGGAAGCTAACAAGCACAATGTCATATAATTGACGCCAACCCAGTTACGTCTGTTATCGTCCATAGTACCTCCAATAAACAAAGTATTACCATCTTACTCCAATCACATTTTATCTATTGTCGTGCCCTGACTTAAGTGACTTGCCAACTTTGTGACAAAAAGACAGACAAGAGATATCTTTTCGTTATTTTCATTGGGTATTGTATTCTTCTCTGACAGCATTTTAGTTGAAGTAAGGCGTCGTTTAAGCACATTTTCTTTCCCTATCAAAATTTCTTTAAAATTCGTAGAACTGAATGTCATAAATAATCGTTATACTTTTTACTCGCTATATACCGGTTGTTGCGAAAATCAAGTTGGAGAAACCAGATTATACATGTACTAGGAAAAATAAGATACAGTAAAAAATATAACAAAATCAAAATGTCAACATTAAACTCACGTTGGGTTATAAGGCCTTGGTACGTATCCAGTGTATCCTTCTGCTGTAGTCGTACCCCACCCCTGCATAGCTGTTGTAGCCGTAGCTGCGATATCCGCTGTTGGTGCCATAGTCGTCTGGTTTATAGCCATATCCATATCTGTCTGGTTGATAGCCATACATGTAGGTCCTTAATGAAAATAAAACAGACGGTTTTTAATTTTCATACAAAAATATTTTTCAATTCCTAATTTTCAAATTATTTCTGCTGCTTTTGATCTTGCTTAA